AATCTTGTGTGCAAAATGAGTACAGTGAATCTTTATAATATCCAACCCTCATCTATAACAATGAAAATAAAGATGAATCTTGCGAAATGCTTACTCTGCCAAACATGTTTCATTGGCTAAGGCTGCGGGATTATTGGATTTCATAATTAAAATACCGCTGACATAACTAAGCAGAATGTCGTAGACTTATTTTTTTTGTAACCTAGAATTATATGTTACTTATTTGTTTATTACTATAATATTTAAGTTTATATAATAATTTTAATGTAACTCAAAAAAGAAATTCTGGATCCTGACGAATGAACGTTAAAGCTCACAAGCCTGATATGGCGCCTCATTTTCAGGGCAATGAATTAGGATGGGCATTATTTGACAAGGATGGATCACGCCAACCCACAGACAAGCTAAATCAAGATTAAACACATCCCTATCAACCGATCCACTTTAATGGATTTCGACCTTAAGTGACAGTCAGTGGGAAACTAAACATGGTGAGAAACAAGGTTGGAGACCATTTTCGCCTTCGTATGATACTGGTTTCTGATATTCTATTAATATTCTCGTTTCTTAATTATATGTACAAAATACTAATTAAAAACTAAGTCACTTACAGTTTTTCATAATCACTGCCATTGTAAAATAAAATAAAGAAAGAATAACAGAAAATATTTAATTTAAATTATGATCCAATAATTATATTCGAGTTATAGAACTTCAATTGAAATACGAATAATTAAAACATACTTAATGCTTATAAAGTGTTGAGTCATAGAATGAACATTTAATTTCGCGTAAGGAAATAACAATGACTAACTACTTTGCTCATAACGGTTTCAGTTGTGATGTACATTTACGACAAATATTATTAACCACTGAAAATGATTTTTAAGAATTCACAAGTGACAATTCTGTAATTACAAGCTTCATATATTCTGACCTTCAGTTAGACAGTACTCTTGAAATAGACGATATTACTTTTTTTGAGAAACGCTACGAAATACAGTTCTCACAAACTGTTAAACCAGTGAGTTTAGAAGTGTAAGTTAGTAAACAAGAAACATCGTAAGTGATCTTAAATACTGAGCGTTTGCAAACTGTTATACAAGTTATTAGTTACTTTATTTCAACATTTACAATATAACTGATTTTATTAATTGCCAAATAAACAGAAAACGGGCCTTAGGGAAGTTCGCTCTTTCCTACCGTTTCCTGCCAACTCGGTTTAAGAGAGACTTAGTAGGAGCATCCAAATAACACAAAACCTGCAAATGTCGCCGATTTGCAATCAAACTTCCATTAAGCTAGGAAAATGTGGCGTTGCCGACGCTGCAAACTGATTTAAAAATAGTTTCATGTGTTGACATTTTTTTTATGCCCAGCTTTGTTCAAATAGTATGTTCTTTCAGTACGAGGCGTTGGACTTACCAATGAATCGTAGTAGCTGATAATATTATACTCCCGTTCAAAAGTTCCCAAGACCCAATGGTATTGTGAGTTACTTCCATACGGGATATGAACTGGTCTTATTGCAATTTCAAAATTATAACTGCCGTAACAAACAAATGCAGGTTCTGATGCTAATAGCTGAATTTTAGTACACCTACATTTTTACGCTTTTTTGCTAATTTGCGCAAAAATCCACGTAGCACGTTTGCATTATCACAAATGCTAAACACACAAATGAAGATAATTCCCAATTTGTTCCGAAAATTCTGTCGCAACATCTTTTACAACTAAATTTTATTCTTCCCCAGATTTTCTTAACGCTTCCATATTTTTCTCCATACATTTTTGAAGAGATTAAAACTTCACAAACTTATTTGTGTTCATTTCTATGTACTTCTGCAAATTGCTCTATTAATTGATTTGTATGCGAATCTAGCGTTGCATGCAAATCTAACAAAAATGCGACTGTTTTGTATGTTTATGTGAATAAGGTGTTAATTAAGTTTAATAAACACAAGTTGTAGGGCACATTAATTTGAAAATAGGTATTTGCACACTTATGAAAGAACGTAAAAGTGAGAAGTCGAACATAACGTTGATTCATTCTCTAGCATTACTCACAGTTTTATTTTCTCCATATTCACTTGAAATACTTCTCATTTAATATGTTTCTAGGCCATACTGTTCGTAGGTTTTCGCCAATTTATTTTTTAAAATACGTTAATTCGAATCTTAATTCAAATCAGTCTGCAACACAATGTACTTGGTAATTCAATTGTTCACTTAAAGATGTTAACATAAGTGTTGTGAACATCGCAAAAGAAAATTATGTTGTAATTTACTAAAAATGCGTTTGGTTACGAGTGTTTAATCAATGCCACCTACATAGTTCGATGTAGGAGGCGTTGGTTTAATTCCTCGCATTATCACTAAGATCACAGCGCCAAAACACGAAAAAACACGTTATTCGAAATTTATTCGAATCTTCTGACCGGATCCTAAAACAAATTTCCAGTTCACCATCAAGTGGCCGAGACGCGTCGGAAGACACCTCATACGTTTCTATTGGTGCACGGGAAGTGGTCTAGCCGCCAGAGATGGAATCTCACACTTCCGCATATCTGCACACCCATTATTATTACTCTAATACTGCACACTGATTATGTTATTATGGTAAAATTACTATTCTTAATTTAAAGTTTCCTCCCGTTGCAAATGCTACACAAGATGAAGGAGGATTGGGGAAGGATTTTTTTTTTTTCAGCGAATCGTCAGGTCGTCCACCAAGTCGATACAGTTCGTTGCAAGGTTTCTATGAAAATACGGTAGTATGAAAGATAAGGGGAATACCTACATCGTGATTCCCTTTAACCTTGCTCCTTTAGTCTACTCAGTATTCTTCATACCTGTATAACCTTCATACCTGTTGAAGTATCACTCAATACAGTGCGAAAAATTTGTTGTGAAAAGGGAATTACGCCTCGAAAATGTTCTAGGCGAGTAAAGCAAATCGAAAAAAGCGATCAAATTTTCAAAAACAATACCGAAATAAAGGACCGGACGTTTGAGATTAAATAATATTTCCAGACAAAAGCTAAAATAAAATGTATGGCTCCGATGGGAGACGCATACTATGGCTTAACGCAAAACTGAACTCTCAACATCTTGAATGACATGGTAGTGGTTTCTTGGTTGTCTGAAGACGTATTAAAGTCCCATGAATGAGTCGTCTGCATGTAATCAATGGTGTGAAGGAATACAAGATGTGTACTCACATTTTAAAAGAAGATCTCGCTAATAAGCTAAAATACGTTTGTGTATAGTACATTGTGGCTGCTGTTCGACAAAAAAATCGTACACTTCCTCAATTTCTTGACAAACTCTTTAGATAATATGTAGACTGTTCTTGGAATAAAAAATAGAATGTACTACAATGTATCTAAAAACAAGCACGACTATAACATGCTCTCCTAAGAGAATGAAGTTTAACTCACCCAGTGACTAAAGTAGTGTTATTGAAATCCATGCCGTGAAGACTGGAGGCAATAATCAAAGCAAATAGAAACCCTTCATAACATTCAATGACGTAATATTTTTGTTAAACATAGGAGTATGATGATTTTTTGTTGTTCAAAATCGTGGTATTATTGTTTGTTTGTAAATATCATTGGGTTTGTAATATTTTGAGTTTTGTAAAGTGAGGGAATAAAATGTAGTGTTCTGAAGTCTTAATTCTGTTATCTGCGTATTTATATATCACCTCTTTAATATTCTATAAAGATTTTTGTCAATTTTTTCTAGGTGCACAATCAATTTACATTAATTTTATTTATGTAGCGACAACGTAAGAATGGTGCACTATATTTCATTTAAAGAAATAACTTCCACGAACTATTCCGTGATAAAGATATTGCAACAGTTATTGTTTATTATGAATTTAGAAACCGCGTTGAAAGTGAATCGCACGGACTCTTCGATATGCGATTGTAGGTGGTCCGTTTAGCTTCGAGGTGCATGGCCTCACTTTGAATTTCTCTATCAAAGAAGAATTCATATTAATACTCTCACATGCTTTTCGACATAATTTATTCTTATCACAATCCATAATTTTCCATAATCAATTCTTACGATAATATGGTTTACTGACGATATCGGAACGAACTAAATTACTCGCGAAAACAATATCACCTCCAACTGCGCTTACTGAACTGACACTTCTGAGGCATTAGCTCGGCTCATATGGCTGGTGAAAGAATACGTTTCGCAAAGCATTTGCAAGCAAGGTCTTCGGCGTTGCTCAGATGTTGTAGAATATGTCAAAATAATCAAGTGGCTAACGCCCGCAAGGCCCGAGTAAACGAGAACCTTCTTTCAAGCCGAAGGTATAAGATGGCGTATTTTTACGTTGAAGATAAATATTAATTACCTACTTGGTACTTCCTCTGAAGCTTTGCAACAGTAAAAGATTACAAACACCAACTTCCAGAAGAGCGATTTTCCCCCCTTCGGTAGCTTATGTAAAGAATATTTTTATTATTTACGATACGAACACTACTTGTGTTCACTGTACACTTTATAAAGGGGACCCGGATAAAAGTTTTGCGAGCGAGCCCGCACTCGCTCCTTAACACTACTGAAATAATCGTCCACCGGCCTGAACGAAACAGCTGATCTGCGACGGCCAAACTGTGAAATGGCCCCTCCCCCTTCACAGCGCGCGCACGTGGCGAGCGCTCGTCAAGGTCACTGAGGCGCAAAATTTTGCTCTGGATTTTTAGCATTCTACCTCAAATGCATGAATTCTAGAAATTTGGATTTCTTTCGATTTTGAGGCACATTTAATTCAGTGTTTATGTAGGAAAAAGTTAATTTAAATTCTGAAAGGTTTCAAAATTTTCAATAATTCTAATCCTGAATCCTGGAACTATATATTTTAACTTTCCATCTCTTCTTAAAATTATTTGAATAAAATTTCAAAACATTTATCAATAATAATAGTACTTAGTTTCAAACTTTAAATAATAATGACAATTGGTATGTTTTAGGTTACGTACCTTCTTTTGAAGAATATTACTGCATTACACAGTACTACACCTCACAATATCTCCTTCACACCGCCATCACCACAACAATCTTTTACACCTTTATATTAAAAACTACACATCAGAATCACTTTTTAATCCATAAGAATATTGTCGAGTCCACATCAATTCGCAGTTCGCGGAAGCCTAATCCACAAATGTTAAGCGGACACCGCTGCCAACTGTTGATTGACAAGAAGAAGAACGTAATCACTTCGCCAACATTGTACAGTCAACTCTAGTTACTAATTTTAACGAGGTGCTTTGTGAGACATTACAATACAAGATAATTTTACGATCGTATGCATTTATAAAAAATGTGTTTATTCTATTTTTTAGATTTATTATTGATTCTATAATTAAGTGTGGTAACTTTGTGATAAAATATCTTAACTTGACACAGTAATTTCGTTAATATTTTCATGAGTCATTTCTTTAATCTATTCAAGCGGCTCTCGATTATTATTTTTCTCGTGTGTATGTTTTCCTGGATGTGCCAAATCCTTTTTCCATTTCAACTCTTCTGCCTGCCTCAGTTAATCACACCTCTCTTGATCTCGAAATTTGTTCTGGATTACTCTCCAGTTCTGTATCATAGTGCCATCTCGTGGCAGCATCTATCAGCTTTAGTGGTTTACTTACTTGCTACTGGCTCGCTGGTGGTATGATATTTAAAGACTGAAAAATCTGCTATTTCTCAATATTTTTTAGAAAATCACATAAACTTTTAAAAATATAATATTTAAAAGTAACTCCGTAATTAAATTATTGTCAGAATTATTTTGCTTTTACGTTCTTCTAAGTTCTAGTAATTTTGAAGCCTACAATTTTATAAAAGTTAGCTAATACTCTTTTAAAAGATTTGTTCTAGATTTCATTTTATTTTTGTCATAAAATATTCTGTAGACATTCCTTCTATTTCGTGCTTCAATCACCTTTGAACTGATCCTGATCATATTGCCGAGTCGCAATTGTCCCATACATTTAATTTTAGAAATTTACAAAATATTTTTTTATGAACGAAAATATCGTTTGTTTGTTTTTAAACAAAGAGTCTTTCCATTGAACTTCGGTTTTAGGAAACACCTGCCAGATCCTACAGCTGACAATGTCTGAGACAGTAGAAGTTACAGATCCCGGAGAAGGGGGGAGATGGCGCTGGATAGCACGACGCCAGCGGCAGTGGCGGAGGCGGTGGCGGTGCGGTGTGCAGTTGGTGGAGGGGACAGTGGTGGCAACGGGAAGGGGGAGGAGAGCAGTGGTGGCCATTGCACTGAAAATTCTACATTTTGAAAAAAAATACGTTTTGAATAAATTACTGACAGCCACGTAGCAATATCATTCCTGGAGAATACCAGTTGGTGAGGGGAGGGGAATGAACAGCGGACTCTGGAATAAATTGCAATATAATTGAAAGGAAATTTTTCATATTTAAGAACAACTAATACATAAATTTAGAAATATATAACTTTAATTTTCTGTAAGTTTGAGTTCAGCTTCTTTCAGTTTTTGAAGTATGGCAAAGCCCATTATATTTTGATCCCTTTCTGCACCTGCGGTCCTTCGTAAAACGAGAGGCGAGAACGGAGTGCGAGATCGGAGGGTGGGAACATAGGGCGAGGGTAAAGGGTGAGTACGGATACAGATAACGGAGGGAAGTGGACGTAGAGAAAGGGCGAGGGCGGCCTGGCGTGGGGCGCGGCGCGTGTCTTCCCGCGGGGTGCCGAAGCGCTTGAAGGACGGACTGGCGCGGAGGCGTTTTTGCAGGCTGCTCTCTGGCGGCGCCTCTGCGCGTCGCCCGAGGTCAGCGCTGCTCGGTGGACAGCGCGCGCGACGGCGAAGCAAATGATTGGTGTGAGGCGCGAGTGAAATGTCTTCCATCCATACAGGCCGCTGGGACGCTCGCGAACGTCAGGGCCGGCCCCCCCACTCCTCCCCTGGCTCCTCCCCGCCCCGGCCCGACAGGGAGCAAGCCGGGGTATCGCACTAATTCCGCCGGCCCGCCCTTGCACATCGTGTCTGGTGTCCTCGCCCCCTCACCTGCTGGCACTAACCGCATCCGACCCCAACATCCTCCTCCTCGTTCCTCATCATCCTCCTCCTTTCGTTCCTGCCGACTCCTCCGTCCCCTGGTCTCTAGGCGGTCCCGTCACGCTCTTTCCTACCCAACGCCATTCTTTTCACACACCCGCACGCGTCCTCGCTGTGCCACCGCTCATGACGGTTCTCGCCGCATCTTTGCTTCGTGTCGTCCTCACGATCCCGGACCGAGCCCACCCACATCGTCTGCGACGCTCCAGCCACGCCGCAACCTCGTCTTCCCCGCCGATAAGGCGTTGTAGATTTTTGCCCGCCCGCTGCCGGCAATCACTGGTCTCCATCTTACTTCCGTTTCTTCACCCTCCGCTGGCTTTTCCTGTCCCCATCGTTTTCTCTCACAATTCCTTCTCTTTCGCTTCACATCCGTCCTCTCTCAGGAGTCTTGGATGACTGTCGCCTCATCAACCCAAATTCCTCACCGGGGTCCAACTCACCTTAACCTGGTCGCTACCCGGTATATTTTATTCCTACCTTTATGCATTTCTTTACCCCCCCCCAATCATTCAGTTAATCATCTTCTCCACTCGCCCTCACTCCAGCCATTACATCATTATCGCCCTCTACGGCATCCCCACAGCCCTCACCTTCACCCACCCCTTCACGGGCCTGCGCCACTCATGTCTCGGCTCCCCTCTCCCCCCGCGCCTATGGCGTCGCGGCGCCCCGCCGGCGCGGTGCCCGCCATCCGTCCGTCGCCGCACGACCCGACGGCTCTCTGGAGGCCATTCCATGGTGTGACACTCTGTAATTTGCGGTGATAAATTAACGGCGGCGTGGACTAACAGCTTCTTGGGAAGCCTGCCGCCCGCTGCCCGCCGCCGCCGGGGCCGCACCACCGCGGGCCGGCCGCCACCACGGGTCTCTTTTGCGACAGCGCCGCCGCCGCCGCCGCCGCCAACGCCGCCGGCCCCGCGCCGCCGTGCGCGCAATTGAATTCCGCGAGGCCTGCTGACGGCCGACCCGAGACATCTGCCTGCCCGAGCGCTGGCAAGCCAACAACAGACGCCGCAGGATCGGTAACCAGGCCCATCCTTAAGCTAGGGGGAGGGATTCACAGGGTAGGGATGTCAACGTATATGAGCTCATCCAAACACCGATTTTTTTGTTTCCAGAATACCAATATCGATATATTACAATCGAACATTTGTTTCAATATGTTGTGGTACATCGAATATAATGATTAGCTTTTAATTGAAATGTGCGAAATGGGAGATTACTAACTGAGTAGGTCGGGTATCTCGACGTTCATGAAAGTGTGAACTGAAGCGGTGCAGTTAAGTTCACCTAACTTTGCTGTGTTTTTTCTCAGAATTTTTATTTGCAAAAACTATTGTGGACCTAGTTTTGCTTCAGTCAAAGCAAGCCTCTTTCGTTCCATTTATCACGTCACTGTGTAATGCTAGAAGGCAAACAGCGATTCTAAAAATGGTTACGTTTCTGAGGGAGTGAACTTAATCATTTGTAAAGAGCCGGCTAAAAAAAAATATAAAAAAATTATTTAAAAAAAGAGAACGTTGTATTTCAACAGCAAATAATTTCCCTTGTAATTTGTAACTCTGGCAATTTTCAAAAATGTAGAGAGTTCCACGAACAAAGACCTGAGCCATTTCTTTAAGCGTCCTTTTCTCTATAAGTTGAAAAAAAATTAAAAAATGTATTTGTGTCGTGTTTTGAGAATATTTGAATATGTTAAGGATTTATGTTAAGTACTCCCAAAAATCAAAATATCCGTTTCAAACCCGGGGCCTGGAGTTCGGCCAAATCTATCGGAGAATATTAGTTTTGAAGAAATCATCTGAACGGTTTAGATACTAGTGTTCACCTCAGATTGACTAACGGGCGGACGGACAGAGGGACAGACATTTTGGCCAATCAACCAATTCTTCTGTACCAAGGAGATACAAAACATGGATTCTGCCTACACAATGAGTTTGATGTATTTTATTACATTCAGGTACAAGTATCCACTTTTTCGATATTAGGGCCTCTCAATGCAAGTTTTCGGTCGAAAATCGCCAATTTCCTCGCAGTTTTACAGTACTTCCTCTATACTTAAGTGCGTACTGTGGGAGAAAGTAAAACAAAAATAAAAGAGAGGAAATACTATTTTTTCTTGAAGTGCAAGTGATGTATTGTTAATGAATTTTGAGAAAAGTAAAAACAAGTCCGCATTTTATGTTCCACAGAAAACATTTCGTTCCGAAGTAAGCCTTTGCTTCACAATTATTATTAAGTATTTGATAAAATTAAAGAAATTTAAAAAAAATTACATTTTTTCCTTATTATTGGAAAAGTACTCTGGCTTTCCAAGTAGTTCTACACATTTAATTAAGTTTAAACTCAATGAGATTTTTAATAGAATAAAGATATTCACACTTCTTTTTAGAAAATATTAGAATAATTAATTTTAATATAATGAACTAGTAAGAATACTTTAAGATTGAACACTTAAAAAAAGTAAAATATTCGTTGCAAATTAATGATAATTAATATAGTCAGTTATTCTTAGACACTGTGATCGAAATAAGTACATTTTATATTTTATTTGTTTGCTTTATATTGATGATTCATTTATTTTTCATTATCTTCTCTTACACAAATTAGCTTTCTGATAGGGTTTCTTATACATTCCAAACAATGAATCAAATAATTCTTGCAGAGATCTTATTTACTTGCATTAAATCGTCGATGAAAGTTGAAAAGTTTTCAAATTTAAAATTGTATTTTAATTTAAGTAATTGATCTATTAATTCAGTTAAAGAAGATTTTATAATATTCTTGGTCTGCGAGCCTGTTTTACTGGAACGAGTTCTTTCTAAAGAACATGTCACGACATCTATACGCACAACCCACAACTACACAGTCCAGCGGACCATGTTCATTTTATTCATAAAGCCACAAAAAATGTTTTGAATATATTGACATTTTGTGCTCCGATGAACATTTTTATATCAATTTTTTTTAAACTAACTTTGGTTTGACATCCTGCTTGCTGAACCAAAACTGATAAGAACATTATGGTCGATTTAAAATCGAAATACACGTTCCTTAATAAAATTGTTGTTGAAGAATTAGATCATGAGAAATTAAGAGACCAACATATCGTAATAATTAATGTGGACCAAAAATACGTGAAAATTACTGAAAGACTGGGGAATACTTTTACGCTCTTAAAACGACCTTATGATTTTCTTAACTTTCCGTGAACATTTTTTTACCCTGCCTTATTCAATAAAATTAGCTTTCAGAAGGAAGAATTTAACGCCGTTCCTATTCTCAAACAACACGGTTAGTGGGTTATTAGATAACTGGAATTAACGTGGTATTATAACGGGGGCTATCTTCATATTTGAAAAACAAAGCGAACATGAGTCTACACGGAGAAGGAGTGACCCACCACCACCTTCTCCTTGTTTTGATCTTCCCGCAGGGTAACGTGTACGTGAGAAGACGAACAGCATCTTTCCACGAGAGCAAGCACAATAAATTACTATTAGCATATTATCACAGACGTAATCTCGTTGGCGCGAAAGTCTACCTCCAACTTGTCCCTATAAATCACGATCGTTCAGAGCGCAGAAATAACTCATTTGTTAAAAGGTGTATAATTATATAGGACTCCGTTGATCAAATATTTCACTGGATAATAGTATGACACCCGAGAAGTTCATAAGCGAAGAAGGTCGGTTCGACTCGAAGAGAAATGCTAAGTACCGACTACGGACTCTTCCTTTAATCGTGGCTTCCCCATACATTTGTTCGAACATCGCCGACAGGGATCATCGACCATTCTGCGGAAGAATGGAAAGTTATTATCACATTAAGATTCTCCATTAATAAAAAGTGGGAGTCTGAAACTCCCCCGGGCCCCATCTGAAGCAATGAGAAGAGGCCATCGGTTATGTAATACGCATACGAGGTTGTCAAGACGTAAGAAACGTTCGTTTTTTCTCCTGCAGAGGCGTTTCACTACAATTTTTTCAAGACTTTTTTCTCTTCAAATTTTTGAAACCAACAAACAAAAAATTTGGGAAATTATTGTTCTTCAGACATTACAAAAAGCCCTCCCACAGTAATTGCAGTTGTTAAAATTTTCTATTATTAAACAGAATTTAAGGCATTAGGAACAACTCCTCTAAAATATTTTCTAAGAAAAGTTACAAATCAGACTAACTTGATCTTTCAATCCAATGAATCACACAATTATTTCTGTTCTACTAAATATTCACTGTGCTAGCAAAGGGGAAAACTTATTACAATGGACCAACCATTAGATTCAGATGATATGTTTTTTTCTAATATCATCAAAACTATGACAGATAACAATAAAATTGATTCAACAAGTCAGAAATTAAACCAAATAGGCTTAACCAGTAAAACATTGTTCTTTGTTCTAGGTATAATTCAGGAAACTAGATAACAATCTAATTTCTCTAAATTGGTGGAATAGACAATAGTCCAACAACTCTTTATACTCTGGATTTGCTGTGGATTATAAGGTATTACTATTTAACTTGACTGGCAAATTACTGGCTTCATTTCAGGTTCCTAAATCGTACTTGGCTATTTATCTGGCAAGAGGCTAGACCTAAGATACCTTATGATACTTCAGCATATTTCCTTACTGCCGAGACCTGGTAATTCTGAAATATTTCCTTCACAATCCCCAGTCTCTACGAGACCCATCAGCTTTTTTATAAAAAGATCACTATATTCTAAATCCAGTATTTATTTTTTTTTAATTCTTCTTTATCCTCACATTAAAAATTGTAAAATGTTTTCTTAAATTTTATTCATAGGTCTATATATTTTCATAATTTTGTTTACATTTTCAGTTCTTGACAAAATCATATCTGTACATGAAATTAGGGGTCACATGATGAGAAAATAATAATGAACAGGATTCAGATACTAAGTAACAGACAAAAACATTGTTAAATACGTCATATCTTTCAACAATTCAATCTACATAATTCCAACATAAATGTGTGACAATATAAATATATGTAATTAAGTAGTTATATGTTCAAAATTATGTAATATCTATATAAGAATTGTAAAATAATGTATTACTAAAACAAATTGAATGCTATACATTATTTGAAATGTTGCTCATTGTCAAAAAATAATTAGGCGTATTATTACAAAATTATTATTATTAAACATGACACTGAATTTCCTTATGGGGTAACATCATTTTTAGCGACATCTGAGAAATATAAATTAACCATAACAGGATTTAAAGTCAATATCTTATGTACAATCACATTTAATAGAAATTAAGGAATTTAAGAAATAAAGAATCAGTCAAGTTTCAACTGACTATTTTGTTTGCACAATGAACCATCTCTTTAACAAAGTTTCCTTGAGCACAGCAACAATGACAACATGCAACCTCAAAGTTACAGAAAAAAAATCAAATTGTTTACAATATTAATTCAAGAATCTTCAACACTGCTTCTGCAAATAAAAAGGAAGTTTAAATGCATTTAAATTAATTGAATTTATTGAGAAGTTTATGAAGAATGGATTAAAGGTTCAAAAACCGTGATGGAAATAGGAAATCTTGGGAAGAAAAGATATCTGAAGGTATTTTTAGTATAAAATAACTATAAAAGCTGGTAAACAATTCATGGAAAGCAACTGCTGTTCTTTATTCCAGTTATTTAACTTGTAATGAATATTGTAATCATTAAATGTGAAGAGATTTACAGACTATAGCAAGACTGAGTTGCTTAGATTTTAATATATGTTGAATTCTTTCACCAAAGGGGACATAAATGGGAATCAAGAGGAAAAAACAAGCAATGAAAAATTTTCATTTGTTGTTTCCAGGTAGTGAGGTCGGTCAAAATTAAATGAGACTCATATATATGAATGATAAAACATATACAACAACATAGAGAAATATATTATTTCCATAAAATTACATTATTTCAATAACAGAATTAAATTTGCAGTCATCTCTGTAAGTAAAACACATGATATGAATACACAAACCAACGCTTATTTTTTATTTTGTACATAGCAGTCCTGAATTGTATAACACAAGGACTGAATATTCTGCAGCAGAAGTCTGGTATCCTTTGAATATTATTTTTTTCATCAGCACCAACTCCCAAAGGAACAATGTTGGCACTTTGTTACAAATTTAGAAACTACTTGCAGTTGGTTAACAATACTGAGAAAAATATTACACATACAAAAGTAATGATCAAGGTTGTTATGTATATCCTATAATGTCTGATGTATATAAGTGTATACAGTCACCTATTGTATTGAATAATAATACATAACACACTGACAATTAGAAAAGGTAGACTGTCGCAAATGTAATTGAAAAAGGTTTCTTGCCACAGAGTACATTACTCAAAACTCTTTTTCTAGATTTTCACTTAAAATTCATACAATGTAATATGCAGACCTTATCTCTCATATAACACACTTCAACACACTCATTCGTTGCATGCATACTCCACTGAAACATCACACTACCTACATAAAAGTTCCATCTTCAAAACATTTGGTTTCTTCAGGAAATGGCACTCATTGTCCTTTTAATCCACTCAATGTTAGATGTTATTTTGTCATACATGCGTGGCCTCTCTACACCAAGTTTGGAACATGCTATTCTCCAATTACTTATGCCAACAAGGTTCCACTTCCAGGTCTTGGGGGATAAACAAAGCATTGGACTGCCAGCAAATTCTTCTTCCTGCAGATTAGAAACAAAGTATTATCAATACTTGCAGGAGTTCATGAATCATCAACCATGAATTTCATTTTCTTTACATACATTACAATCATCCTTCAGGAATGGAGGATCTGTACAAAAACTGTTAACGGTTGGAATGCTGATGTTTTCACATCGTTGCATGGGACTTGGCCTCACTTCAACACGTTGCAACTGCTCTTCTGTGAAAATGTAATTTTATCCAAACATTATTAACATTGACAAACCACTGTCAAATTATTTTTACATTATCTGAAAGAACACTTAAATAAAGGAAATATTTCATTGTAGATTTGTTCTATCCTGCAGGCTGGATAAAAGATATTATTATAAAGATGTTAATAGATTTTTGTTAGTTAATAAACATATTTATTATTAAATTTCAATTATTTGTGTAGAGTATATGTGATTTTGTACAAAATTATTTTTTAAATAATTACATAATTTTAACACAAATAAATATTTTAATCAATTTTGCCAAATAAAAAAGGTAAAAAGTGAAAACTCTAGGCCTTTTGGGGGTGCTATGGTACCATGACCCCCCTCCTGAATCTACCACTGCATACATTAATAGGAAAGATACCTATTAATGTTCTTTCTAAACAACACTTCCAGAAATCAACAATGTGACGCACAAATATTCCTGTCTTTTGAAAATATATGTTAAATTTAATTATGATCCGTGAAAAAGAGTAAAGCAAAACTTCTGTAATAATTATATTACAATTATTTTGAGTTGGAATTGACAAAATACTTTATCATCATGTACTGTACAATGAAATATCTGAGCCTTGTTCCTGATAAGGCAGTTGTGTGCAATATAAAACTTATGTTCCAGGTGTTCCTGCATAATTAATTTTACAAAATACTAATTAAAATCAATATTTGAAATCTGTAATTGTTAAATCCTTTAATTAACATTATCTTTCCATTAATATTTACTTACTATCTGTAGCCCATCCTAAAGTATTACAGTATGTAGAATTATCAGCGTTTTCTTCAGCAAGACATACAGGGTGGACAAAATCTGACATATTAACTGGTTCTTCAAGTTTCACCATGACAACGGTGCTACCTTCTACAGGAGATTTAACCATTCCAACCACTGGTCTTTCCTGCTGCCAAGGAGATGAGCCAGATAGACGAATGCTCCCAAGTCGTGCTACCCATTGTGCTTTTGGTTGGCTACATAAAGAGAATTAAAAACATGATTATGATTATTGATTTCATGCCATTGAAAGTAAGGTAATGGTCACTGAAAGCAAAGCTGCTGAAACAAAGGAAACAGGAAAAACAGCCAGAAGAAAGAAAAAGGAAATCAAGAAAAACATAGAAGGATGCAGGACAGGGGATAGAAGTTCAATTAAAGAGATTATCTAGAAAAGGAAAAAAATAAGATCTGGTGCAGGAAATGGTAAATGTTGTAAAATACTTTCTCAAAAGAGGAATTAAACTATGGACTGTTAGTGCTCAACCAATTATGTAAAAGTAGCCTATTAGCAGAACATAACAAAATAATGTTTTTAATATTCTGATGTGTAATCTTCTCCTTCTCTCATGTTGTACACATTTTTTTAATTAATTTGAATACTCACAGAAGCTTTGCAGAATTTCAACCTGATAATATAAAGAGAAAGACATTATTATGAGAATAAAATTCACATAAATTTGTTTAATTCATGTAGGAAGTCAATGCAACGCTAAGATGTTCACTCTTAGTTATTCAATTTGATTTCTTTTGGCAGTAACTCCCTATTTTAATCTAGTTTTCATCCAGTTTTCCTGGATCCATAGAGCAAATTATCATGGTAACCACAATAGGTCGTAAGTCAAAAAAATGCACTTGTTTAATACACCATTGTGATTAATCTTGACATCTGCAGCAGCCACAATAGTTCTTAAGATGACAGAATAATGAAAAATTGAATAAAATTGTACATTTGTTGAAGCAACTGTCAAGACAGGGAGAAGTAGAGAACGTGTTTTGTTCCTCGTGAAAACTTTGGTAAATTTGACACGACCTATTGTGGTTACCACAACAAAATGTTGAGATGTGAAATGGTTACTTTCTTGCTTCCGAACATTTAAATGGCATTTATATCACCCCTACCTCAACCCATAAATACAGAGAAGATTTTATTTCCCATAAATATATTTTTTTAAGTAAATACTCACAGCTAACTAGAGGAAAATTGAACATGATTAAAAAAATTAAACAAAACAAAATTATTTAATTATTTAACTGTCATAATTTCCATTACAAATAGAGGGTCATTAGTAGTTTGAAGGGCCAAGAAAAGTCATTCTTTTAGTATTCTCCTCATAACTCCAAGTTTTTTTTTTTTTTTACAATGAACATGTCAATCTGCTCCAATTAAGGTACATATAATTTGAAGAAATAATAAATTTCATTGAATGTCAATAACATACTAGCTCTAAATTGCCTGCATCATTAAACTCTTCTATTAAATCTATTAAAATCTTCTATTGCTTACTTACACTATACAGGATATGGATAATAAATTATATTGGCTGAATTCAGCCTCTGTAATTTAGGTAAGCTAATGACAATAATTGAGATCGTATGAAAATTTATTCATAAATATTTTCAAATCAATATGATGTCAAAGAAATTTTATAACAATAGTTTTCATCAAAATAATAAAATTAAACAAGGCATTTCTTTGAAAATGCTTCTCATGGCTAACGAGAAGACTAAGAGGTAAACAATTCTGGCCATGAAATTGTTAGTTTGGAAAACTATTAAACTGAAATAATAATTGTTATTTGTTTTGAGTTGATATTTGTAGCACTTTCTTCTGTAATAAAAAAATTCAAAAAAGTACAAAGAAAACAATAGAACAACATTTTCATTGTTAACCATTTCTTGTGTACTTGAGAAATTCACCCTTCCTTATAGAAAAAACCCTCTCTTATTTCTTAAAAGAAGTTATGCAAAAATGTCATTATTGATACCAATACTTTAAAAGTAAAAGATGTAAATATTATTACCATACATCATATTGCAAATTCAAAATTATTGCAATTCCTACAGTCCAACAGTACTACCTCATATAATGATTATTAAAAGTAATTAGTCCAACACAAGAAATAATTTTCCAATTATTGTGGAGAACTCATTTGTTCTAATTCAGAATCATTTTTGAGGCAAATTTTTATATATAAAGTTAAAATAAGCTCAATATCTTAGTACATGATGATTTATTATCAAATGGACAGAATGGACTTTTGCCTAAAGTGTAAATATATTTGAAGAGAATATAAAATAACAGAGGTATAAAATTCATGAGACTCTCACCTAATATGATACATAGGATATAAAGTTTAATCAATTTTAAAGTAGTTTTAAGGAGATTGATTTCAGAGTTGAATCCAATTTCATAAATGTTGAACTGTAATTTCTAGTTGTTTCATAACGAAGAAGCAAGAAACATGTCCACTATTTAATTTATTTTAATAATATATTACGTTAAGAAGTAAACACAATTTAAAACTACATCAATATGAATTAATTAAATTCTGTAAAGAAAATATTTTTTTCTAGTATCTGGAAAATTTCTAGATCTTTTAGCAACCAGGGACTTTTATCATTGTTCAGTTGAACCAAACTCTTACCCCTGGAAACATGATGCAGTGGTGAGAAGCCACTGATCAGATACCAATGTTCCATCACAAACATGAATTCCATCTTTAAAGAGAGCAGTGTGCCATGGCCAGTCTCCGTGTGCAGCTGTTTTTCCCAATCCTGCAATACCTGGACTGGACCGCAGAGATTGTGTACCACATACTAAAACAATATTTGAATATGTCTATTAGTAATTGATCATTGCAAATTAAAATAAAAACATGTATAGAAATAGAACACAGTGTCACTCAGATAATATCTATTTAAATGATCATGATAGCAAAATCTTTATTTACCTTTTAACAAAAACATATGGCTTAAAAATTACTACGATTATTGAAGCTGCAAATTATAAGACATTATAAAATATAATCTGTTGGGTTCCTACAAATATAGCATTCATCTGGTAAATCTATTCAGAGGAGGGGATTCACCTCCGGGATAATAGATTTTCATTCACTTCAATCTCCATCTTTTTGAAAAAGTCACCTAAGACACAAGTGTTTCCATCATCATTCATATCAAAATTCTCTTGACTCAGCACACCACCTAGCCACCTCAGCCATCCAGGTTGGCTAAATTTAATAATAAAGTGTAAAAATATCAACTGTTCAACATTTCTTGCATTGCTCAACATTTCTTAATCAAGGGAATCATTGTGATGTATGCAAATAATACTGCAATCAATATTGAAATATCTGTATTTATTAAAAGAGTTAGATGAGGTAGTAATATTAATATATGTAATAATGGAATTGAATGTCCTTCACATTGCAGCAAATAAATTGTTAAAAAACAACACTGAAATTTAACATTAAAATGTCCAAAAGAAAGACAAAATCAATGACATATCAAGGAAAAGAAATGAGAATAATCAAAATTGTCAATAATGGGCATATAATAGATCTAGTATCAAAATTTAATTATTTAGGCAATATCATTCAAAACAGATCAGGGGACCCAGAAAACAAAATCCAGAAAGGCAACAGAACAAATGGACTAATCACATGACATTTTGGAAAGGATAGGACCCAAGAAATTAAATTAAAAATTCGTAATATAATTCCAAAGCCAATTCTAATTTATGGATCAGTCGATTTGCCAATGAAAAGTAAGGATTGGCAAAGACTGGAGACCACACAGATGGGTTTTCTACACCATCTTGCTGAAGTCACGTTGAGAGATGGGAAAGGGTCAGAGAAAATGGTTTCCTCACATCAACAGAATCATGCAAGATAGATTCCCAAAGAATGCATTAAATTATAAGACTTGGAGAGATCATTAAAATAATGGTCAGATCATCAACATTGGAGAACTAAAAATCCATCAGGTTAACTTGGAAACAGGAGTAGATGACACACCTAGCAACCTATAGTATATGATGATGACAATCATGATGATGATGTTGGTGGTAACAATAATGATGTATTAGAATAGTTGTTTGTAAAAATATGGTTGGTTTTCAAATTTTAAAAAGCGTGAGATTAGTAACTATAAGTAAAATTTTGTCATTTTCTGTTATGTATGGATAACGATATTTTCCAAAAGATTATAAATTATCCTTTGGTTAATAAGAACAATGATATGCACCTTGATTGTAAATTGTTAGTAAACGATTCTGGAGGAATCTTGTCTTAAAAATATTTTTGAATCAGAATGTTTTTATAATAAATAAACAAGTTACAAATGTTGGACTATAGATCAAATATTATCTACATTATTCATTTATATCAAACCAAACAATAAATAATATTTAAATAAAGAACTGAAAGAAGGTATTTACATAAAAATTAAATTGAGAAAGATGTCTTTCAGAAATTTCTTATGTCTGATCCAAATGTAACATAGAAAAATTTAAACTTGTTTTGATTGATGAAGGAAAATAAATTCACTTTTTCAGCCTTCTTACCTAAATCAGAGCATCCTACATATAAAACTTCTTTTTTCGGACAGGGAGCACGTACAAAAGTTATCTCTGCAGCTGTTGGATCTTCCATATGTACATATTTTACATTATCTTCTTCATCATGCTCTACACGAACAGTATTAACATTCCTGTCAAATAGTAAGCTTGTGAGAAATTCAACTACTATAAATTTAATTACTATTATTTGTTGTTTATACAAAATAAATATCAAAAATTACATTCCACAGCTTACATAAAACACTTACTGATAAGATAGTAAACTGCACATAGATGATGCTATTGTATTCAGAGTAGATTCCCAATTTGGTTCAGGGACAGTACTGTTGAGATTTTCAGTGCATAGTTTCCCATTTTGTCCTTTCTCATTGAATACAACATATCCCTCTGAGAAGTAGTAAGGTTGATGAGGGGTTGCTGGCATAGTTTTTGCTACAGCTGCCATATTTGGTGCAACTGTCACTGAAGTTTAAAAAAAATATTATTAAAACTAGTTTTAAAAAAGATACTTTTTAAGAATATTATTCAGAATAATCATCAATATATTTATAAAAATATTGACATAAAAATATTCTGTATGTACATGAACTCTAGGTGACTAATGAACAATGTTTTAAAAAATTCAGTAAGAAATTTCATCACATTTTAACGAACAAGTTAAATTTAATAAAATAAAACTCTGCCATTTTATTTCATCATTATGATAAAAATTAACATGATACATTATTGATATAACATTGGCTGTCTACAAAATTTAATATTGTTTTAAATAATGATTAGCCTATGTGTAGTCATTCTTTATTGGTTTAGTAATAGTTTTTAAAAGAGCCAAAAAGGTAAGGTTGCATTTCATTCAATGTGACATTATTTTGAATATAATAGGTGCTTTATGAATCAAGTAACTTCACTAATTTTCAATGTATACCACTTGAGATTGAAGTTATGCTTAAAAAATTATTCATATTAATTATATACATAGTAATTATCATACACACATACACTACTATTTACTAATTTATGTAATTTTATTTTAAAAGATTTATGTGAAACTCACAACAATGTCGTTCATCACTTCCATTGGGGCAGTCCCGTTTTCCATCACAGCGCTTTTCAGGTGGAATACACACTGTGCCTGTACCACAATGAAGACTTCCTTGTGCACAATAGCTACAGTCCATTTCGTCTGACAAATCAGGGCAATCTACTACACCATCACAAACTCGAGATGATAATCCACGCTTATGTAATTCTTTTGTGCAACCTGTCACAGAACAAAACACTATACATTATGTTCTTATTTCAAAATATTCATCCATTTTTAGGTTTGAGGTCCTGTGTACTCATTTCTTTCATAACCACTTATGGACACTTATAAATATGCTCTGGTAACATATAAATTATAATTTGTTCCAGTTCATTAATCATATTTATTTCTGTCAATAAACAGAACAAATATTTTATAGGTGGCATTTATTGGGAGGAAGTGTAAACTGCCATTTAAAGTTCTGAAGAATAGCAAAGGTCTATGTCAGTATTTGCTCTGTGGATGAAGGATCATCAACCAGGCTGCCCATAGATTTCATGGTCCTCTAGACAAAATTTTATAAGACCCTCCCCTACCTTCAAGGTTTCTCAGTCCTCAGAATTTTTTTTGTTTATATAATCCCAAATATTTATTTGAACTTCAAAAAATCATAAATGAATGAAGAAGAAAAACATGTGGAGAGGGATAATTTTTTTCTCTCTCAAGGAAGTCCTCAAAAGCTTGGGCCACCTGACATTTGTCAGGGTTGCTCTCCTAAATGGGTGGTCTTGTTACCAAACAATCAAGAGGTGGGTTTGAATGAATTTGAACTGTTCAAATCAATTAAAAGATAAACATTTTACCTGGCTTGGGATTACAAGATCCTGGACCTTGATATTCTGGAAAATTGCTGCATTCTAAAATATCTTTTAATTTGGCAGGCAGCCTCTCTCCACAACCTGCATGAAATTCTCTGCAGAAACTCCGGCAGGGTAATACCATTATATCTTCAATTTGTCCAGGTGCACGTGGGGTACAAGAGGGTTGCAGAACTTGACAAAGAAACTCGTATGCCATTCGGTAACATTCAGCATCAACTAATTCCCTAAAATCAATAAGGAAAGTAGTAAAGTTCACATGCTTTAATTTATTTTAATTCTTCTTTAAAATACAGTACAAGGGAATTAACCAATATACACTAGAGATACAAAATTATAGATTTTTTCAATTGAATTAATATTATTGAACAGAACTGTATAATTGTTATAACATGATTCTTGTTCACATTTTTGTTAATAATAGAGAGCTAAATATTTCAACAATGCCCTTGACCTATTTGTAAAGAACTACTGTTCACTAGCAATGTTATCAAGAGAATAAATAGTTTATTACTTTAAAATTTAATTAAATAATATTCAAACAGGTTTAAGTCAATCGCCAAATAAACATTTTTTGTTATCAAATAACCATTCAAAATCGGAATAATGATTTGGAGTTACTTTATCAGAACAACTGGTATTTGCAAAATCTACAATACAAGATGTTCTGATATCAATCCTGTGATTGCTAGCAGGTCAGGAATTTTTAAAACTGACTGTGAGATGCAGTATGATATATATTTTTGTAAATAATCCCTATAAAGACTAGCAACAGCACAAAAGAGATATCTCCGATAAAACTTAGGAGCAATACAAAGATATTGACAAAGGAAACCAGATGTAAGAAAAAGTGGGAAAGCAAAACATATTGTAGAAGAAATAAAAGACTATCAGAATAAATGTTTAAAACTCATTAAGAGAATGATGAATGAAATACTTCCAAAATTAGCATCAAATTACAAACTCACAGAACAAAAATATAATAGAAGACAAAAGAATAAATTGATTGAGAAGGAACACCTGGAAATATAAACCATCAGGTCTACTGTAAAATAGGAAAAGGCAATAGGACTAAATTTTTGCAGCTTAGGATGGTGATGATGATGATGATGACACATACCTGAAAGGAATTATATTCTCTTTAACTTCTTCAGTAGATTTATGACCAAGGATGTTCGGATATGATGTCACATTGTAAGGTAGGTGGCTGCAATATGAAAGAGAAACTTTCTCACACCGCCGAGGAGGGGGAGGGGTGGTGCTAGGAGGGGTTGCTGTAGCAGCAGCAGTTGATGGTGCTACTGTTGTTGGCATATCTGAACTTTCTGGAAATAAAATTAAAATAATAAGCATGTGTTATTACATTATTCACTAAAGATGTACAGTAGGTAAAGATAAGACAAGCCTAAACTAATAGCTACTATGAAAGAGTAATTAAAGCAAGAAAAGTTTAACATTGTTCTCAAATACAAGGAACATTTATTTAATTTTCTATATTGCATCATGAGAGAGTATTTTACCTCTACTGACAGATTAAATCGAAATGACAATACAGTCATACCTCATTGATGTTAAGTTACTGAATGGAAGAAGAATTTAAATATACTAAAATAATTTTCCCTTCATATGACACTCTCACTTTAGAGTCAATAGTGGTAGTGGTAGTGGCAAAGATGAAGATGGTGAAAGGAAGGTCTAGCAAGAACTTTTGACGTACCTTTTACATCCAAACTCTTTGGATCTATTGTAAGATTAGCAAGAAATGGTGAAGCATTTGGCTCAATGTGACTAGCGAGAAGTGACATCAGATCTGGTACAGTGACATCCTTTTGGCTGAGATCAAATCTGAGGTTGAAATGTACAATTAAGTCTTCCCCTTCAGCTCTGAAACATGTAAAATAATTGCATTAAATGTTGATTAGTAAGTTGTGTAGTAAAAAGCACAATACCTGAGAATTATGACATTGTTTCACTAAAATAATACAAAATATTTTGCACTTTAAGCCAGCAAGAAAGGACAGTTTAATTTTAACTTTTTTCTCTTCTGCATTTGTTGACATTTGAGGTGATAATCACAAATTCATGCATTAATCAGCTGAAAGATTCAATTCCATTGAAAATATTTTAAAGAATATAAAATTAACTTAAAAAATTAATGTACATTTAGTATTTTAATTGCCAGTGACATAACTTAATAAAATGAAATGTTATCATTACATCATTTTATTATTTATTACGGTACCTTTGGACCTCTTTATCAAAATTTTGTTACAATATCAGTACTGCTGGAAAGTTATACTCTTTAAAGTAAAGGAAGAATAATTTAGATTGGGGTACCTTTGCAAAAGTTGTGACTTAACACACCTTAAAAATACACAACAGTAATTGTACAATTCCCTTCTTTCAAAAGAGAATATATTATTCTGTGGTATTATTCTGCGGAATTGTACAAAATTATACAACTGTCCAGGGTTACTAATTGGTGGGAAATGTGTAGTATTGATACTGAATCAAAATATCAAACACTATTTCATAAATATAATTTGATTGATTGATTGATTAGTGATTCCAGGCGCATGAACTGCTCTCATCATTATTTCCGAATTAGTGTTGTTTTTTTCTTGGGAGATGGCGATGATCTTCTCTCACTGGATAGTGAGATCCAGCACTGACATACCCATTAGCTAGCAGGGTTTTCTTCAACCACTAGCAGGGCAACGCCCCAGATGGTACAAACTCTAAGCATCCAACCGATCTCCTGGCATATGTGGTAGAGTAGGTATATAGGTGTAAGTGTGTGTAAGTAAGGGGTGAGGGTAGAACAAGAAAGGGTAAGAAAAGGTCAGGTGTGGTACGTGGCCCATTTGTTAGGGTATTACTGTTCCGGTATTCACCTGATATTGATCTAAAAAATCACAGAAAACCACCAATCAAAACAGCTGACCGCTAGAAGTAAATTTATTTTAAAAATTAATAAGAGGTAATATTTTATGTTCCGTTAACATATTTTTTGTACTTCATGATAATAATAATTAAAAATAAGTTTAAATGTTCAGAACAATAGTTTTATACAATGACTTCCCATTGAAGAAGCCATAAAAACCTCTTTTAAGAGACCGTACAGCTTTAAAAAATTGTGGTAAGAGGTTTGAACAACAGAAAAAACCAATAACAAGAAGAAATATAATAAGGTTAATAAATACAGGGAAAAGAAGAAAAGAAATGGAATTAGCAAAGAAGCAACAAGGTCTCCTGAATAAGAAATTCAGGAGTCAACATGAAAACATGGACACGCAACAATAAATGTAAGAGAAAAGGTAAGTGGAGAACAAGGAAATAAGGAAACTGTGTTGTTAAAGACACTCAATATAAATTTAAATGGAAAAGGCAAGAAGAAGAGGATCATATAGGAAGAAGGAAAGAGAGAATAGAATAGTAGAAGGAATAGAGAATAGAAGGAGAGATAGAATAGTAGCGGCAAATGATTAAAGAAAGAGAAAATAGAAATGGGGAAAGTAGAGGAGAAGAAACCAAAAAATGGTGCAAGAAGTAAAAAGGCAGAAGATGATAGTGATAGAAAGACAAAAATGTAGGGGGATGAATGAAACAATAGAGTAAAAAGGAAATAAAAATGACCTAAAAATTACAATTACATCTACTTAATCGCAGGGGTAAAAGAAAGGATAAGAGAATCAAACATTGGAAACTAAGAAAATGAAATTCAGAGGAAAGAAAGGAAGATAAGAAAAAGGCAAAAGTTGAAGAAGGAGGAGGAATACGAAGAAACAGTAAGTTGAAGAAAAAAGGAAGGAGGAAAAAAGAAGGAAAGTAACGAATTTAGAAAGAAAAGGTTAAATTTCAAGAATAGATTGAGTGATAATTTTGAGAAGTGCAGTGGCAACAGGTAATTTCCTGAGCCAACTCAACGGGTCAAATTACCCGCGCCAACGTGGCGCTGAAGCCTGCAGGCCTGCGGCGACGCTTGGAACGTTTTACAGTTTAGGGAGATGCGGTGGCGGACAGATGGCGCACACGTCGCAGTTCGTAGACCCATTGAAGTAGCTGCCGCCGTCTGTCATACTTTGACCAGTCGTACATCCATTTGGCTAAGAAGGAGAAAAGGGAAGGGATGGCTGTTTCATTAGGTGATGTATGATGGTTTGCAAAAGACTCAAACATGCCGACTGCACAGATGCAAACATCTATGTCCCAGACGGGATTCGAACCGTAAGACCTCCCGGCCGAAGACGCTTCAGAGGAATCAGTTACTCTGATGTCTTGAATAATATGATGAAGAATAAAAAAGTAAAACTGAGAGCAACAAGAAGGGGGAGGGGTAAATGAAGGGACAACACGGCCCTTGAATGCAGGGGGGCGTTGGTTGTGAAGAGCGGAACTGGTTTGTGGCTGATGTGTTCTTGGCATTCCAAATATGTGAAAAAAAGGCGTCGTCAGTGGCATTTTTGTGAATTTATACAGCGTATTCTCACATTAGTGAATATGTATGTATAAATTGTAACGCCTGAATACTCTCTCCCTCACACACACACACTTGTATATTAGGGGTTGAGAGTGCAAGTGGCATAAGTCGGTTTGACCTAGTCTCTCAGAAGAAAGGGATTTGCAGCTGAACGAAGGGTTTCAATTATACGAGGACGCTTAATATTTTAGCAACAGTAATTTTGAACTATTGTTAATAAAGAAACAAAGCAAAAATATAATTTTTCTGACATCAAAATTGCTGATATTAATGTTAATTCCGGTGTCCTGATAGTTTAGCTCCAACTGACTTACACCACGTGCATACAACCTCTCGTATATTAGGTAGAGATGGTAGATTTTAGCAATTACTAAAAATGCGAAATTTTACCAAACGCTAAAAATATTAGTAACTATATGTTTGGCGGTCGGTGCAGTATATTTCTAAAAGCTTTCAATCTGCGATAAAATGCGAAGTCACGTACAGAGTGCGAAATAGTCGTGAATCTGCGATATAATTGCTAAATTGCATTTAGTGGTTTCCTTCGTGTACGCTAACTAGGGGTAGGACATCGACAACAACACATCAATGTTTGAAAGCATTTAATTTGATAGTGACAGTAATTATTTATAATTAATATTGAACTGACGAAACAAAGTAAAAATAATAAGAACCATTTAAAGTACTGATCCCGAAAGCCTGAGCGCATAGGGAGCTCAGCTTCCTCAGTCGGATGTAGGGAGAAGGTCACGGGAAGAAGAGAAGGCCCTACGCATACCGCGCACGAGTTACTTCTGTTTTTTACGCTTCATACGCTTTTATATCTGTTGAAGTTCACAAATGGCGAATATTAAATTGGTTTCTATAATTTCCTGACTTAAATAAGAAAATCTAAAAAGCATCAAAATACTTTTTTAAAAAAACCTCTCAATAGTTGTCTCAACAAATACGGCAAAATGCTAAATCTTTATTTTATAATGCTACAAAGTGAAATATTCTTGTTTTGAAAATGCGATTTAAAAACAATTTATAGTGCTACATTCTACTCGTACCATCCGTATCAACAGGGTAGGAAGTAGAATTTCTGGCCTCCAAACAGTAGCTATCTGATGATAGCTTAGCTAAAACAATAAATCCTGGAGAGATGGCTCAGGGCATCTACAGATGTCACTGCACCCTTTGACCGGGAGGGCGGTCCTAGGTTCCTGTCCCGACGGTCGCAGAATTTTCGACACTATCTTGTCAGCCAGGTCGATTCACTCGCTGTCTGGAGGAGAATGCTAGCGGCCGGCTGCTCTAATCCGGTTAGTTTTCCATGGTTTCTTTCCTTTACTTTTTCTTTTTTTCCTCGTTATTTAAAATTTTTCCTTTTTTTTTCTTACCCCCACCACTCTCATCATTAAAAGCACAACCCTACCCACACATGCTGGAGACCTGTCCGGGAGCTTAGAGCTGTTTCCGGCAGGGGCCGATGCCCCTGCTGGTGGGAGATACCTGGTTGGACAAACACCCCGCTAGCCGACGACAGGTTAGCGCCGGATCTCGCCATACAGCGGGGGAAGACCCCCCCCCCCACATCGCGAGCAAATCCTTCCCTACACTTACGGGACTAATGACCGTGGTAGTGGTCGCGCGCCCGGAATCCCTAACAATGAATCAAACAGTGCCAGGAGGTGGCGCGCTCACCCGTCGAGCGCGAGCACCTCGGTGCCGACGAAGGCCGGCTGCAGGTCGCTGCGCCGGAAGACGAGGTTGAGGCGCTCGCGGTAGTCGCGCGCGCGCCGCCGGAACTGCAGCGTGGCCGGGTCGGCCAGCTCGGGGCTGAAGGCGTCGCCGCGCACCACGCGGAACGAGCCCCGGAACGAGCGCTCGCCAGCCGGCTCCGTCGCCAGGAACGTGTCTGCAACACGCACACACACACACACACACGACGGTTATTGTTGGCTTATTATTATATTTAAACTTAAGATCTTTTCGATCGCGTAGCGATATTCATTAGAGCTAGATTATGTCATGCACACCTTGCAGCGTGTGGTTGAAACACGAATTTCTGAGTTTTTATAATAATAATAATAATAATAATAATAATAATAATAATAATAATAATAATAATAATAGTATTAGCGCACGAGGGTGTTCCTCAGTGTCCAATTCACAGCCCACGCTTCTAATGATTAGCCTGATATGCAGGTGGTTCAGAATAAACGCTGCAAATATCTAAGCGAAGGCGGAGAATGGGATTGATAATGATCATATTTCTCAATGAACATGTGATTGGATATTTCTAATAATGAACTAACAAGACACCCCTGCTTAGGAGGCAATCCATCACGTACGCGTGTTACGTAAGTCAGAATAGGGCGCAGTCGAAGATTTTTGTGTATCTGCGATATAGGTTACAT